TTGCCAAGGGGTGTGCCCATGGGATGTTACTATATTGGAACAATCAATTGTTAATAGATATCGTATCCATTATTCTGTTAAGTTTTCCAGTAGAGTTAAATTATTCTAAATTCCTCTTTCTTTGTTGTAGTTTAATTACAGTGTTTAAAAAAATTGTGTTTTGCTTAACGTCAAGGAGTTTGACCAGTCACGTTGCATTTGGAACATGACACTTCACATTTGACATTATAAATAAGAAAATGTTAGGGTCTAGGCTACCTTCTTAAAATATTTTGAGGGGGTCTGGCCTGGCCCATAACAGCTGAGTTCCTAACAGTAGTCATGTGAAAGGACTCTGCTAGAAGATTGGAATGAGTACAGCTCAGAGCATGCTGCTCTGTAGCCATACCATGTATTTATTTACTTGTTTAAAGGAAGCCTAGGCATATGGTCTGAGCTTGCACGTAGATCCAAAGAACCCACAGTATAACTCTATTCTTGCTAAATCCGAGGAGTGGTCTTGTATTCCTATGATCAACACCATAGGAGGTCGAATTGTAAACTAAATAAAAAAGCCAGCAGGAGGCTTGGGGGAGGGTGAAACAAGTGGGTCAGACCTTTTCATACTTTTAATATTTAAATAGTAATTTACTGAAAAGGGTATGGAGGTGATTTACAAGGATGTTGCCCAGACTGTGAAAGTACAGCTCTGAGGAAAGATTGGATTGGCTATGGGTTGATTTCCCTGAAGCACAGGAGATAGGGGCGGGGCAGGTAGATTTGATTGACAGGTACAAGATCGAGAAGGGCTTGAATAGAGTGGACAGGACAGTGGGCAGCGAAGAGGGTTATCTAAGAGTACAATAGTGTCTTGATCAGATGGGTCAGTGGACCGAGGACTAGCAGATGAAGTTTAATTTAGATAAATGCAAAGTATTGTATTTTGGTAAGATAAACCAGGGCAGGACTTACACAGTTAATGGTAGGGTGCTGGGGAGTGCTATTGAACAGAGAGACAGGTGAGTAATAATGGGGTGCAGGTACATATTTCTGTGAAAATGGCGACACAGGTAGACAAGGTAGTGAAGAAGGCATTTAGCATGCTTGCCTTTATCAGACAGAGCATTGAGTACAAGGGTTGGGATGTCATGTTGTGGCTGTATAAGACATTGGTTAGGCCACATTTGAAGTACTTTGTGCAATTATGGTCGCCCTCCTATAGGAAGGATGTTATTAAACTGGAAAGGGTGCAAAACAATTTACAAGGATGTTACTGAGGCTGAGGGTTTGAGTTCTAAGGAGAGGCTGGATAGGCTGGGAAGTTTTTCCCCTGGAGCGTACAAGGCTGAGGGCTGACCTTATAGAGGTTTATAAAATCATGAGGGGCATAGATAAGGTGAATAGCCAAGATCTTTTATCCAGGGTAGGGGAGTCCAAATGTAGAGGGCATAGGTTTAAGGTGAGAGGGGAAAGATTTAAAAGGGACCTGACAGATAACTTTTCCAGACAGAGGGTGGTGCGTGTATGGAATGAGCTGCCAGAGGAAGTGGTAGACGTGGGTATAATTACAACATTTAAAAGACATTTGGACAGGTACATGGACAGGAAAAGGTTGAGAGGGATATGGGCTAAATGGAGGCAAATGGGACTAGTTCAGTTTAGGAAACCTGGTCAGCATGGACAAGTTGGGCCGAAGGGTCTGTTTCCATGCATTACGACTCTATGACTAAATGCCATAAAGTGGGACTGGGCTGGGTGGCTTGTTCTGTGACCAGCACAGACATAATGGGCTAGTGGCCTCTTTCTGTGCCACAAATGCCCCACGATTCTACTATCTATGTAAAGTAGATTTGTATAAGCGTCTACCCTTATGTCTAAAATTAAAAATGTAATAGCCCACATTAAGATATTGTCATGTTGGTACAACATGCTGTCATTATTTTAAATTAAGAAAAGAAATTGATGAGGACTTCTATTACATTATTACACGCCTGTGTCAATGAATTGCTTTCATTTTTCATAAATATGTAGGGCACAGCATTTGCAGGATGGTAAATGTGAATGCTGCATTTCCAAGAGGATTTATGGGAGACTGATATTTCCTTAACCTTTGTTTCATCCTTCCATCAGTCTATTTTTGGAATTAAAGCTGTTGGCTACATAAAGCCCATTGCGATCTTTTCATTTGTTTAGAACAGACAGGGTTTATACAAAAGTGCTACAATTAATCGATCTCCCATGGTGTTACAAATGAGGAGTCAAGAGCACATATCATCTTCAGGTGAAGGAGGGGGTTTGGAAGGACACGAATAATTGGACGTGTGCATTTTTAATCAACCTTGTCTGGAGATGTTATGTATGTAGATATAATTCACATTAAAGGTATGTGTACTGTGCTTTGTTTTGCACTAAGCGTTTTTGCTCAGAGAACAACCCCTGTTTCTCCAGGCTCTCACAAAGCTGAAGTGTTCGATGCCTGATACCATCCCCAGTAAATCCCCTCTGCACTCTTTCCCAGGGCACCATTGGGTCCTCTCCCTCCACGTCATTGTGAGACAGACGCCAGAGGTAAAGGGCAAACTGGAAACAGCTGCAATTAAGCAGGTTTGTTTTTACCTCTTTCAGGGCATATGGGCATCACTGGCAAAGCCAGCATTTATTGCCTATCCCTAATTGCCCTTGAACTGACGAAATTACAATTACAGAGGGCAGTTAAGAGTCAACCATATAACTGCAGGTCTGGCCCAAAGATGTGTAGGTTAGGGTGGATTGGCCATGCTAAATTGCCCCATAGTGTCCAGGGATGTGCCGGCTATGTGGGTTAGCCATGGGAAATCCAGGGTTACAGGGATAGGCTAGGGGGTTGGGTCTGGGTGGGATGCTGTTGAGGGTGGGCACTGTAATCTCGATGGGCCAAATGGTCTAGAACATAGAACATAGAACAGTGAGGCACAGTACAGGCCCTTCAGCTCACGATGTTGTGCCGGCCAATTATCTTACTAAGAGCAATCTACCCTGCATACCCTACATTATACTATCCTCCAGGTGCCTATCCAAGAGTAGCTTAAAAGTCTCTAAAGTAAAGGCCTGCTTCCACAATGTAGGGAATTCTATGATTCTAAGTAAGGATGTGGCAGATTTCCTTCCTTAGAGGGAATTAGTGAACCAGATGGCTTTTTACAACCACAGTCACCATCACAGAGACTGGTGTTCAATTCCAGACTTAGTACAGTAATTGAATTTAAATTGCCAATGCGGGATTTGAACCCAAAGTTTTACCCTGGGGCCCCTGGATTATCAGCCCAGTTTCCCCAGGGCTGATAAGGAACAAAGTTGACCGGAAAAAACAAAAAGAGATTTGGACAGCTGCTGTTTGGCAAAGACAGTACATTGTTTCACTGATTTTGTTCACTTCATACAGACCCATCATTACATATTTTCCAATAAAGAGAATTAAGCATCTTATATTTAATTGGTTAATTTAGGTTTGCCCTCTAAATACTGCATTCTCTAATCTATTATTGATCTTATCTCATAGACATTTACAGCACAGAAAGAAGACATTTGGCCCATCATGTCCACGCAAGTCAACAAAGATCATGAATGCTATTTTCCAGCTCTTGGCCCATACCTCTGGAGGTTGTAGCAAAGCAAGTTTCTATCTAAATGCTGCTTAAATGCTGCGAGAGTTTCTGACTCAACCTTGCTTTCAGGCAGTGAGTTCCAAACTGCTACCACTCCCTGATAAAAAATTCTCCTCCACTTAGATTTCTACCTCTTACTTTAAAACCATGCCCACTGCTTATTGAACCCTCTGCTAATGGGACAAGACCTTCCTATCCATTCCATCTCTGCTGCTCATAATCTTATACACCTCGAGCAGGTCGTCCCTCAACTTTTGTTGCTCTAAGGAAAACTACCCAGCCTATCCTCATAGCTCAGACCCTCCAGCCCAGGCAGCATCCTGGCAAATCTGGAAAACAGCATTCATGATCTTTGTAGCGGCACAGTGGCTCAGTGGTTAGCGGTTAGCACTGCAGCCTCACAGCGCCAGGGACCCGGGTTTGATTCCACCCTCGGGTGACTGTCTGTGTGAAGTTTGCACATTCTCCCTGTGTCTGTGTGGGTTTCCTCCCACAGTCCAAAGATGTGCAGGCTAGGTGGATTGGCGATACTAAATTGCCTATAGTGTTGAGGGATGTGTAGATTAGGTGGGTTATAGGGGGATGGGTCTGGGTGGGATGCTTTGAGGGTCAGTGTGGACTTGTTGGGCCAAAGGGCCTGTTTCCACACCATACAGATTCTATAAAAATCTCCTCTACACCCTCTCTAGTGCAATCACATCCTTCCTACAATGTGATGACCAGTTTTGGCTAACCAGCATTTTATACAATTTTGGCATAATCTCCTTGCTTTTATTTTCGTTGCCACAGCTAATAAAGGCACATATCCCAACTCTGTTCTTAACAGCCTTATCCACTTATTCTGCTATCTTCAGGGATCTTTGGATATGCATTCCAAGGTTCCTCTGACCTTCAGTACTTTGCAAAGTCCTACTGTTCATACTGTAATCCCTTGCCTTATTTGCCCTTCCCAAATGCCCTTACCTTACACTTTTCCAGGTTGAATTCTGCTTTGTCCACCTGACCAGTCCCATTGACATCCTCCTGCAGTTTACAGCTAACCTCCTCACTATTTACCACCCCAACAATTTTCATGGAAACATTTTTAGCATCCTCCTACATTTAAGTATTAAGTATTAAATACTCAATTAAAATTAAGTATGATATTTACCTTCAAAAAGCTTTTATCTAAAAACATGCAATAAAGCAATTGCCAACATTTATGAAGAATAAAATTGATAACTTTTTTAAAGTTTGATTTTGGATAAATATACTAAAAAAAGACTAACCTTGTCCTACATCTGAATAATAAGAATCGCTAAAAAGACAATGTTTATTTACAGTCCCGACAGTAACTGAACTGTACAATATTCATTGTATACATTGTGTATCTCTTACCTGTTTAGTGTTGTCATTGCCATCAGTTCTCTGTTTCAGCTCCAATGTCTTGGAAATTAGATTATGGCCCAAAGTTACATTGAGTCTCGGTGTTAGATATTCAGAGAAACCACTCTCAGTGTGTCCTAAGGCAGATTTGAAATGAAGCAAGTGTAAAGAATCTGAGGCAAGATTAGCTATCGAGTTTGTGATCATTTATATTGTTTGTTCATTGACTTTAGGCAACTTAAACACAATTTCTCCAACTTCAAAAATCTGCTACTCTGTAATTACCTGCCTTTGAACACAAGCCTTTCAATTAATTTCTTGAAGCTTCCAAGGAACGCTACTTGCCACTTATTCTCAAGGAACCAAGCAAATCGTTATCTCAACCTCAGGTGAAAATTGACAAAAATACAGCTGGACGTTTCAATGTCCAGTTCCAAGAAAGGTTCAGGCTCTCAGTTAATGTTCGAATTTATTGAAACCTACATGATTACAAGGAAGCAAATGCATCTCTTTGTGCTCACCGGCTGCCTACTATCCCACCCCACCCTTTTGAAGACCCTCCCTAACTATGTCATCTCTGCAATTCTTTGCCCAACTTCAAGAACCTTAAAACTCTTCCGTTCACACACAGGTCATCCAGCTCCACACTGTGTTATCTCAGACTCCAGCATCGGCAGTTCCTACTAACTCTGAGTAAGTTTTAATCCTTTCTTCTTACTTGGTTTAGTGCTTTCATTTCTCATGTTTCTAAAACACCTCAAGATGTTTATTACCTAATAAGACAATGTGGATATAGGCTGTTGTTGTATGTTGTGAGATGCATTTGCAATGAATGGACACAAGAGAAAAGAAGCAATGAGCTCTTTCGACCTGACAATTGAGCAACTCTTAAATTGTATGAAACAAACGGCAAGAATTACCCTCAACCTTTTAAATGTTGTGTATTCTCTGTAGCCCGTGCAACATACTTCTACCTCCTCAATCATGGATCAGATACAGCACAGAAGGAGGCCATTCAGCCTGGTGGATCTGTGTTGGCCCTGTGTAAGGGTGACTCATCTAATTCCCCTCTCAAACCCTTTACTCATAGCCCTGCACATGTATTCTGCTCAGATAATTATCCAATTCTCTTTTGAAATCCAGAACTGAACCTGACTCCATCACAATCCTCAAACAATGCATTCCAGATCCTGACCACCGAAAGTGGAGTCGCACGTTGACAGGGTGATGAAGAAGGTGTTTGGTATGCTTGCCTTGAGTGAATTGAGTATAGGAGTTGGGAGGTCATGTTGCGGCTGTACATGATAATGGTTAGGCCACTTTTGGAATACAGCGTTCAGTTTTGCTCTTGCTGCTATAGGAAAGACGTTGTGAAACTTGAAAGGGTTCAGAAAAGATTTACAAGGATGTTGCTAGAGTTGGAGGGTTTGAGTTATAGGGAGAGGGTGAATAGGCTGGGGCTATTTTCCCTGGACTGTCGGAGGCTGAGGGGTGACCTTATAGAGTTTTATAAAATCATGCGGGGCATGGATATGGTGAATAGCCAGTGTCTCTTTCCCAGGGTAGGGGATTCCAAAACTAGAGGGCATAGGCTTAAGGTGAGAGAGGAAAGATTTAAAAGGGACTTGAGGGGCAATGTTTTCTCGCAGAGGGTGATCCGTGTATGGAACGAGCTGCCAGAGGAGGTAGTGGAAGGTGGTACAATTACAATATTTAAAAGACATCTGGATGGGTATATGAATAGGAAGGGTTTAGAGGGATATGGGCCTAATGCTGGCCAATGGGACTAGATTAATTTAGGATATCTGGTTGGCATGGACGAGTTGGACTGAAGGGTCTGTTTCCATGCTGTACATCTCTATGACTCACTGTGTAAACAGCTTTTCCTCGTGCTGTTTCTCTTGTCCGTCAGTGTCCTCGGCTATCCAACACTTTGACCACAGTTTGTCTGTAAATGCTGTAAAGCGGGAACAGGAGCAGGGGAATCTGGGTGTTTGTATGCATGAATCATTAAAGATAGCTGGACAGATTGACAGAGCAGTATTTGAGGCTTTATTAATAGAGGTATAGAGTACAAGAGTGATGAAGTTATTCTGATCTTCTATATATTACTATTTTGACCTCAGCTGGAATATTTGGGGAATACGACAAGGTAGTCGTAACGTAACTTGACTAGTACTGCAGATGACCAGGCTAAAGCTCTGACAAGAGGGGTTTGAATCCCACAAAGACAGCTGTTGCGATTTAAATTCAGTTTATAAATCTGGAATTGAAAGCTAGTCTCAGTAACTTTGACTACAAAACTATCATTGATTGTTGTAAAACCCAATCTCATTCACTAATGTGTGCTGTGATATTGCAAGTATCTCTGATCAGACAAGCATGGGTCTTTACAAGAGTTAAGTTACGATATTCCTGTATATAAAAGTATCAGTTCTATCTCGAATGTCTGCTGCTGTACATTGTAGTCCAGCAGAAAAGTTACTCAATCACGTGAGGCCTGACTATAGCAATGGCTGTGATAAAATCATTAGATATTTAGTTGCGCTATGAATGGATCTTCTGTTATGTACTCTCAGTGAAGACTCCAGTCTCTATGTTCAGGGAACCAGGGTTAACATAATATAATGTCTCTAGACATTATATCAATGGCCTTTAGGGAAGGAAAGCTGCAACCCTTACCTACAGTAGTCTCCATGTGACTCCAGACCCACGGCAATGGCGTTGACTTTTTGCTGCCCTCTGAAATGGCCGAGCTTGCCACTCAGTTCAACAGCAATTAGAAATGGGTAATAAATTCTGGCCTTGTCAATGACTCCTACTTCCCAGGAAAGTATTGAGAGAGTAAAGGTGCTGGACTCTACACTGTGAAGTCGCTGGAAAATCTTTTTAAGGCATGATGATGCAAGATGGCACCAATACCAGATGACTGCTTGCGAGGTCCTACAGCAGATCTAACTCTAACATCAAAGAACAGAAGAAGGGTTCATGAGAAGGGCACCAGAGATGAGGAATCTCAGTTTTGAGGACAGACGGAGAAACTGACACTGTTCACCCTAGAGAAGAAAAGGCAGGCAGGAGATCAGATTGAAGTGTTCAAAATCATGAGGGGTCTGGACAGAGGAAATAGGGCCAAACTGCTCCCATTTGTGAAAGGATCAACAATGAGAGAGCACAAATTTAAAGTAATAAGCAAAAGAAGTCAAAGTGAAAGGAGAAGGAGTGGTTAGGATATATTGTATGACGGAAGTTCAATCATGGCATTCAAGATGCAACTGGATTATTACCACAAAACAAAGAACATGCAGGGTAACAGGGAGAAAGCAGGGGAGTGACACTAAGTGAGATGATCAATCAGAAAGCTGATGCAGTATTCTGTGATTCCGTGAAACTTGATCTAAAACCCCCATAGTTATGGAGACCCAAAACAAATCTTTTTTCATTTGTTTCTGGGATGTCGGTGTCACTGTCTAAGCCAGTAGCCTACTCAGCCAATTCCAATTTGTCAATTAAAAAGGTCATCTGTACTTTCCTTGATAATTGAGATCAGCAGCAATCTAAGTCCCACAACATCAGTCAGTGGAATTCAATTTCAACTCTCAATAATGTTACATTTGAGCAGTTGTTGCAAATGTCTTGAGTGTTAACTGCCCTCTGCCAAGCAAGACAATCCGTTCAAGGGGCAATTAAGGATGGGCAACAAATACCTCTCTTGCCAGTGACCCCCACTTCCCATAAAAGAATAAGATAAAAATGCCAACATTTATTGCCCCTTGAAAACTTGGTGGTGAGACATTTCCTTAGATTCTTCCCTCAATTATTTTCAGGGAGAAAGCGGGAGAATGGGGTTGAGAAACTTATCAGCCATGATTGAATGGCAGAGCAGACTCGATGGGCTGAATGGCCTAACTTCTGCTCCTATGCCTTATGGTCTTATGGTCTGATAGTTACAACTGAGTGGCTTGCGTTATGAACCAGACCAAATGCCCTCAAAGTATATTCAAAAGATAGTCTTGACACTAATGTTTTCTTATTTTAAACGTAAGTGTAAGATATCGCGATCCAGATGCAATTTAATTGGTCAAAATACTCAACGCTAAGCAAAACACACTTTATTCATGCACTGCAGTTAAAATACAACAAAAGAAAGATGAAATTGCAATAATTTAACTCCACTGGAAAACTCAACAGAATAATAGATTATTTAACCACTAAACAGTAACTGTTCCAATATAGTAACATGCCATCAACACAAGTTCAGAAAAAAAATTGTCTCAGGTAATTTTTTAGTCCAGGAGGAAAAACTTCAAGAGAAAACTCTGAGGGAGACAGTAGCAGGGAGAAATGTACTGCAGCTTTCAAACTCAGCTTCAAGACCCCAGCAACTGCTACTGAAAAACTAAAGCTAAAAATCCTTGTTCTCTGGGAGCATGTCCCACCCATTCAAGCTGCTTCTATTGTTCCTACCTTAGGGAAAAAACCCAAGGCCCCATAAACTGTTTACCTTGTGGGATTTCAATCGGCAGCTCAGCGCCTCTGACTTAAAACCTCTGTTCAAAAACAAAAACAAAATACATCCCTTAAAGCCATAAAATCGTCACACTTGTTGGGCCATTTCAAAAGGCAGTTGAGAGTCAAGCACGTTGCTGTGGGTCTGGAGTCACAGACCAGGTAAAGATGGCAGATTTCCTTCCCTTAAGGACATTGGTGGACCAGATGGGTTTGTACAATAGTCAGGTGGTTTCACTAAGGTTCCTAAAGGGACCTTATTTTGATTTAGGCTTTAAACGGGATGGCGGGACTGACATACAAAGAGAGACCGGGACAGTTAAGACAATATTTACTGGAGTTTAGAAGAACGGGGTGGGGGGTGTGGTGCTGGGGGGGGCGCGGGGTGCGTGGCGGTGTGGGTGGGGAGTGCAGTCTCATGGAAACCTAACAAATTCTAACAGGACTAGACAGGGTAAATGCACGAAGAATATTCCCAATGACCAGGGTGTCCAGAAGCAGGTTCACAGTCTAAGGAACAAAAATAGAAATTACTGGAAAAGCTCAGCGGGTCTGGCAGCATCTGTGGGGAGAAATCAGAGTTAATGTTTTGGGTCAAGTGACCCTTCCTTAGAGCACCCTGAGAGTA